AAAAAAAAAAAAAACTATACATGGGGTGGGCCTTGGTTAGTGCAGATCTGGTCCAAAGGCCACCATTCTGCGACCCGGAGCCATTCTGCTCTCCTCTTTAGCCACAGATGCCTCACCTGCAAATGCTTTCTATCTTGGGACTGTTGAAAAAACCACTGCTATTGCAGTGCCCTGAACGCTCCATTGAATGATAGGGAGCTGCTGTTTAGTTGACTCCAACTCATGGCAACCTTGTGTGCAACAGAATAGAAGGTTGCTGGGACCTGCATCATCCTCACAAGCTCCCTCGTTGCAGCTGTGGTACCATCCATCTTACCAAGGGTCACCCTCACTGGCCCTCTCCTTCACCAAATGCAATGTCCTCCTCTAGCAATTGATCCCTCCTGATGTTGTATCTAAAGCAAAGGAGTTGGACAATGCTCTGTTGTGATTCTCTGAAGTAGATTGCTAGGACTTTCTTCCCTAATACATAATATTAGGCATCAATTACTGGGAGGCCCTGCCCTCCATCACTTAACCCCTTAACAATCCTGTAGAGCAAGGTCTCTGTTTTCATTTCCCAGTTGAGACAAGATGTAGGAAGATACTAACTTGCCCAGGATGCTGTAATTACTATGCACTGTGCTCTCTGAATGCAATCCCTGCAGATAGCATGGATACTGCAAATTTCAGTCAGGCTTCCTTCCTGTTTGGCACTGGTGGAGGCATGGCCTCTGCCTGGTGGGGCTCAGAAGCCCCTTCAGCCAGAGCCCCAGGGTCATGGACCCCTGGAGGCTCAGTTTGTCAGGTTGGGGGTTGGACACTTTCCTGGGATTGCTGTAACCATGTCACGCACAGCGGGTGCCTTTAAAGAACACATATTTATTGTGTCACAGTTCTGGTAGCTGGGAGCCCAAATTTAGAGCCTCCGGGGCTGGGCTCTCGAGGGGGCTCTAGGGTAAGGTCTTCCTGTCTCCCTTAGCTTCTGGAAGCCCCAGGCACTTCTTGGTGTTCCTTGACTTGCAGATACATCCTCCTATGACTGTCTTCTCTCTGCCTTTCTCTCTGTGTTCCTTCTCCTCTTTTGTTAGGACACCACTCAGGCATGAGCTCATGTTCACCTAAACTGATCACGTCTTCGGAGACCTTGTTTCCAAACGAGGTCATGTTCACTGGACTTCAGTATATCCTTTTAGGGGACACAGTTTGATGGATAACAATGCCTTTTGGGGCTTTGGCTGCCATGGGAAAGAGCAGGGCAGTGGGGAGCAGAAGTCAGAGGGGCTACCACTGTCCATTAGGTCAGCCCTGGATACAGGGAACCACATTCATAGGGCATTGCCTGCCTGGGCACATTGCTCTCTCCTTGGGGTGTTTCCAGTGAAGCTCCATCAGGCAAACACTTGAAGACTGTGACTAGGATAGAGCTTGAAGAAATCAATGGAAAATCAAATGTATTTCTCATCTCACAGGACCAGGGAGCCTGCCTCCATGTATAGAACCAGCAACCAGGCTTACGGAGGCCACGCCCCCACTGTCCATGAGATGCCGGTGAGTGGGGAGCATGGGGGGAGGGTGCAAGAAACTTGGGACCCTGCAGCAACATCCTGTTGGAGCTGGGGGCGGGGGGAGTTGGGGATGGGCCCAGAGGCCAAAAATTACTGAGGCAAGGGGAGGCATCTCCCTTCCAATCCTTTTGGAACAAGGCAGAGGAGAATCTAATGAATGAATCTACTAATAAAATGTTTTAAAGGATGAGAAAGCTGAGTGTAGACTTGCTACAAGATCCCCACAAGGCCAAAAAGGATGGCCCTGGTCCCCATTTACATGTACACACGTGCCCAAAACCATCTCTTGTAACTGAGGCGGTAAGCTTTGAGGAAAATAAATAAAGAACTATTTTATTTGTGGAATTACCAATTCACTTCCTGAGATAATGACATGAAGAAGCATAGTTCAGCTGCAGCTGAAAAGCACACGTGGCAGAAGGCACAGTGGTGGACTTCAGAGGTCTGAGCCCATCTGGGAGAGCTAGGCTACTTTGAGACTAACCTCACACTAGGACAGCCCTGGACGCCTCTGCTGGGTCTGGGTGCAGGGTCAGATGGACCAATGTAAGCATCACTGGATGCCCGGGATGGTGGGCTCAACCATTTTTGGGATGAGAATGTTGTTTTTTTCCTTCCAAATACATCATTTAAAGATCTGGATAATTGCCCATTCAGTTGCTTTGCATGGGTAAAAGAGCTTTTGTGGTGAATAAATTGTTGTCATTGTTAGGTGCCATGCAGTCAATTCCGACTCATAATTACCCCATGTGACAGAGTAGAACTGCCCCATAGGGCTTCCTAGGCTGTCATCTTTATAGAAGCAGATTGCCAAGTCTTTCTCCCATGGAGTTTCTGGTAGGTTTGAACTGCCAACTTTTCAGTTAGCAGCCGAGAGCCCAATTGTTGTATCACAAGGGCTTCTTAATGAAGAGATCATTTATCTAAAACATTTCTAGAGTCCTTGAGAGTCACTCTCCTGGAATCAAATGATTCTGCATTTTCTTTCAGGATCAGGGATTTCTAAGAAGACCAATGCACTGGCTGACTCACAGGCATAGCTGTTTTCGTGTTCATAAGAAACAGTTGAGGAAAACATTCATATTGCTGATCCAATTGCTGACATCAGCAGCACAGAGTTTGGGGGCAGGTTGGGAATAGGTGTCACCTGTATCTTAACTGCCTGCTTTATCTGAGGTCTGATGTCCAGTTTCTTGACCAAGTATAGGGCCTAGATGCCATGAGTGTTTACTTCTCATGTGGGAACAGGAAACCAAGGTGCTTTCCACTTTAAGAAGAGACTGTAGCCATGTCTTTTTGCACTTGGTTCCTGCCACGGAATCAAAACATCACATGTTCTATTTGGGACCGTGGTGGTCTAAGGACACAGTACCTGTCCAGGCCCCTTGCCTCAGAAACATCAAGGTCACCTAACAGTGCTAGAATCATTCCTGGCCCTGCGTGCTTGTACACACGCACGACCATGGCCGTGCTTCATTCTGCACTCTTTGGCACATACTTGACACTACTCCAAGGGCAGCCTCTCCCCAGACTTTTCTGCTGGGAGAAGTCTACAAATGATTCTAATACACAGTCAAAGTCAAAGGACACTGATGTAGATATTCTTTCTACTCCACAGAAGACAAAACTGAAGTTCAGAGAGGTCCAGTGACTTGCCCAGAGTAACACAGCTGGCAAAAACAGAACCAGGGATTGCTGCAGGCCTGACCCCCTAAGTTAATGCTCATAATCACATCAAGAGTATGTAAATGTCACGTCCAAGTGGCCTTCTGAAAGTGAAAGGAGGAACTACTAATAATCATATGAGGCAGTGGTGACTCTGGTAGAATTCTCCCCTTCCATGTGGGAGACCCAGGTTCAACTCCTGGCCAGTGCACCTCATGTACAGCTACCACTCGTCTGTCAGTGAAGGCTTGCATGTTGCTGTGATGCTGAACAGGTTTCAGCAAAGCTTCCAGACTAAGATGGACTAGAAAGAAAGGCCTGGCAATCTATTTATGAAAATCAGCCAGTGAAAACCCTGTGGACCACAATGGACTGAATGGCAACTGATCATGGGGATGGTGTAAGACCAGGCAGTGTTTTATTCCATTGTGCATGAGGTTGCATGAGGTTGGGGTCAACTTCATGGCAGCTGACACCGCCACCACCACAAATAATCATGCCAAGACATCAGGCATACACGTGGACAGTCTTGGGCAGACTCTGGTGTTTGGCCACCCTGGCTTTTCTGTGACTGATGATGACATTTGTTACAATTTTTTTTCCCCCCTAAATCTCAAGCAACTGATTGAGCAGAATCATGCCTCATTCATCATATTCTTCCTTTTTGCTTCCAGAAAGTATTTTACCCTACTTCAAGCAAATTTTCTCAAGGACTTGCAGCCTTTGGGATGTACCGGAACAATACCTTGAATGTCTGCATGGAAAAGAGTTTTGTGACAGGCCCAGATAACTACATCACCCCCTGTGACCGCCTCAACTTCCACCCCAGCTACAACCCAAACAAGCCATCCATCTGCAACTAAGGGGCACGGAGGCAGCAGCAAGCCAGAGGATTGCCACCCCCTGGGCCTCGTCATTTGGTCGTTGTAATGGTCTAGCCTTCCCTGCTTGCCTGAGCCTGATCTTCCTCCCTGCATAGAGAAATGGGAAGCAGGGTTGTATCTCCTGCTTGTTTTATTTTACATGTAAGATGGACATGGAAAAGAGGTGCATGACGTGACTTCCAATTAAAATCATTGCCACATACTGTATTCCCAGACTCATCTGACATCTGTAACCAAGAAGCAAGGCTGTAGGCATCCTGGGTGCCAGGAATGCATGGATAATGCCATCATGCCTTTATTTGGGAGCCATTTTCATCTGCATGACAAGTTATGGAGCAGGTGTTTTATCATAGAGCCTCCTGGCCCAAATCTGTGTAAACACCACAAAGCCACAGCAGGAAGGTGAGTGTAGACAGGGCAGCAGTGTCTTGCCACCATCCACCATCACTTCTAGTGAGGAGAGTAGAGCCCAGGGGCAGCTCCACACTGAAGCAGGTGGGGAGGTGTCAGTACCGGGCCTGGTCAAGAGCAGGTGCAGGCAGGTAGACTTACACGTGATTCCCCTCCAGACACAAGGATAGGGTGGGGGAGAGCCAGAGCAAATGCACTCACTGTTGGGCGATGATGCCAAACAGGGGTTCTACTTTGTGTTTATTTTTAAATTTCAATAAAAAGTGTTTTTTTTTTTTTTTTCTTTTTTTTTTAAAAAAAAGCAGCCAGGGAACCACTTGCATTTTCCTAAGGCAAGGGTAGTGACATTATATGAATTTTTGTCTCTATACCATCCTAAATTCTATGAGTTAGAAAGTCCTCAGTAGGAAAAAAACATCCTGTGACAGGAGCTGGCTCTCAGATGGAGATTGTTTTCCCTCCTCTGTGAGCAACAAAAGCTCAAGAGAGGCAATCTAGACAACTGAGAAGTCAAGAGATAAGAAATGATTTTTCAAAAACCATTGATGACATCCTGTTTACAGAGATCTTTATCTGAAGAGATTATACTCATGCATTTGGGAAGAAATTAAACACCATGCTGGTTATTTCTTCATTATAAACTTTTTATTATTAATAACAAAAGTAAACATTTTGGCAACATTATTAATGTCCAATATGGAACAAAAAGTTTCCACAGAAAATCAATAAATTTCATAAGAAAAAAGATACAAAGCTGAACCCGGGACCAAGCCTACATGTTGTCTTTTTCCTCAGTGTGAATACCGGTGGGGACTCCAGGCACCACACTGAACACTTAATTTTTACAGCCCTTCATTAAAATACCAGGTGCTGATGGTAACAACCCTCTATCCTCTACTGAAATATAAAACGAACCATTTTGTTCAGTTTCTAAACATACTGAAAAGAACAATTCCTCCTTCCTCAACGGCTGATTCTGAAACGCAGGTTAGAAGTCAGAGCATGGTAAGCTACCAGCAAAAATAGTTTTTTCCCCTACCTAAGACTTGGTGGTGGTGTATCCAAGACAGCTTCATCTAAGCTAGGCAGATAGAACTGGGGCAAATGCCCACTCCTGACTGGCAGTATCACCAGAGCTGACTTGGACAGACAGACAGGGAGGTAATTCTGAGGTATGGGAATGCTTTGATTGGTCATCTACTGTAATCTAGTTCTGTGACCATTGCTAATGAGTTAAATTCAGACTGTTTTATCTGGAAAGATGAAAAACAGAAATACCTGTCAGAGAATATCCATGTCCATCACCTGAAAGCTCAGTAATGCCTGGCCCAGGCTCCTGATGCCCACATCCTGCCTTCTGGTACCTGAGGCTCTGTGAGCCCCAGGTGGCTGGGTGCCTCTCCACTTGACAGCTGTTTGATGGTTTTCAAAGGGCTTGGGCACGAGCACCTCACCTGACCTTCACATCTGAGTGAGGCAGATCATACCTCTATGTCTATGAGGACATGAGGGTCTAGCAGTCATACCCGACAGTTCCCAGGCTGAACCCACCTTGGAGGTATCCTGGGAGGTGTGAGATCCTCAGCTTCTAACCTTTAAGATAGGACCTTAACTTCCTCCTTGTTTGTACAAGTTACACAGGACTTCAACCAAATCCATGGCCACTGAGTTGATGCCAACTCAGTACCTCTAGAGGACACAGTAAAACCACCCCACAGGGTTTCCAAGACTGTCAATCTTAATGGAAGATTGCCTCATTTTTCTCCCACGGAGTGGCTTGTGGGTCCCAGCCACCACCTTTTGGTGAGCAGCTGAATGCTTTAATCACTGCATCAGCAGGGCTCCTTCATAGGGACTCCAGTGATTATAAATTTCAAGAACTTTCGTCTTTTTAACTTTTTCCCAAACTGAAATCCTTAGGAATTGTGGTGAGAAGGAAAAGGAGTTGAGATCAGCTGTTCTAATTGAATAGGAGAAGAATGTATTTTTATGATAGTAAACTCAACTCACTGCCATTGTGTTGGATCTGACTCATAGTGACCCTTCCTTGGGTTTCTGAGGTGTTAACACTATGGAAGTAGATTGCCTTATGTTCTTTCTGAGGACCTTTTATCTTTTAATTGATTAGAATAAAAGGGTTTCAAACACATCGTAAAATACACTGGCATTGAGGAAAAAAAAAAAAATCTGTGCCCAGCATTCAAAATGCTAGAAGCCACAAAAATTTCACAATATAATACACTCCTACACAGAACAGCCACACCTGGGAAAACACCTGGCTGTGATGTGCAGGTTTTGGCTTGGGGTTTGTGCTGTTTCCCTCTAAATAGGCCCTTTAATTAATTGGAGGTGAGGGATCAAAGAAGCAATACATTGTACATTATATTTATAAAATTTAATTTGTATTAATATCATGTTTCTATTATGTTTATTGCCTGATTTTCTAATGCACCTGCATCTCAGGAAATCCTGATAGCTGTCTGTTCAAATTTAGAGCTACAGAGACAATAAAGGTAGACTCATCCTTGTCCCCGCACAAAGAACTGCCCTCTATCAGGGTGTGTGTGAAGAAGCATCCAACATCAACCACTGGGCCTTTGTCCCTTCCCCCACCCTCAGCCCATTCCCTTGTTGTTAGGTGCCATCCAGTTGGTTCCAACTCATAGCAATCCCACGTACAACAGAATGAAACACTGCCCATCCTGTGCCATCCTCACAATTGCTGTTTGAGCCCATTGTTGCAGCCACTCTGTCAATCCATCTTGTGGAGGGTTTTCCCCTTTTTTGCTGACCATGATATCCTTCTCCAGGGACTGCTCCCTCCTGATAACATGACCAAAGTAGGAGATGAAGTCTCATCATTCTCTTCTAAGGAGTATTCTAGCTGTACGTCTTCCAAGACAAGATTTGTTCATTCTTCTGGCAGTCCATGATATATTCAATATTCACCAACACCATAATTCAAAAGCATCAATTCTCCTTCACTCTTCCTTACTCATTGTTCAGCTTTCACATGTGAATGAGGCCATTCCCCTGGGACTTCTGGACAGTGGTATTCTGCACAGACACTGTGACCACAGGAAGGCCTGCCACGCAGCCCAAGATACCTCTTCGATCAGGCCTCGCCCCTTCCCCATTTTGCATGACATGAACTGAAGCCCTAGCCCAGGCATGGCCCTACCCACTCCCCACCCACACAGAGTGAGAATGGTTACAGACTTTGAAAGAGCTTGGTGTAGCAGCCCATTCCACTTGATTCCACAAGAGGGGGACACACCTACTGTCTCACGTAGCAGCTCAGGAACACTGGCACATGGCCACACTGCCTGACAGACCTGCAAGGCACACAGCAGCCATCGCTCCAGGGATGCGCTCACCTGTCCCCACTGCTCTTGCCATTCAGGAACCTGTTGGGCAGAGGCCAGGGAACTGCAACCCAAACAAACAAGAAGTAAGGGTTCCATCTCCTCTGTTCTGAGGCCCCAGCCCCAGCGAGAGCCAAATAAGGGTGAGGAGACAAGTTTCATCTGTGACACATGGGCAATTCCAGATACACATGCACAATCAGGCATCTGTCATGTCTGTGGAAACAAGGAATCTGCAAAGGGAATAACCCTTCCATCTGATTCTTAAAGCTACCAAATTATTGCTGAAAGCAAGAGAGAAGGGTGAAGGAAAACTACTGACAAGAGAACCTAGGTTGGAGGCGACTGCCAGATAATACCAAATGGGTGCTTCCAGGTTGAGACACCCCAAAGGGCCCTCAGCCCACGTTTCTAGCTGCAGTCCCAACCCAATGGCTGTGCAAAGACGCAGCTCCCTCCTCATGGCCACAGAGTTGGACACTGCATGCATCAGGGAGGAGCTCTCAATGGGAGGCACACGCAGTCCAGGCACTGGGACACCTGGCAGTCTCAGAGCCCATGTCAACACGGACACCCCACAAAGGACAAACCAAGAATAAACCAGAATGTTTCCTACAGTGGAACACAGGGTCCAGGATTCCCTTCCTTAGCCCATGAATGACACACGGTCACTTTATACCAACAGTCCTCACATGTCAGCGAGCACAGAGAACTGCACACGTGTGCCAAGGAAACATGCCGAGTGGAGCCGGCAGCCGTGTCTGCAGGTGTCTCCTCTCAGACTTCTGGGAGGCTACACTGCAGTGGAACCCCAGGCTGTGGGGGATGGTACAGGGGTGCAGAATGGTGGAGGCAGGCAGAGGAGAATGTGAGAGTTCCCAGTTTTGGGGGGGCAACTGGAGAAGTGGCTGTCCTGGGACAGAGCAGATGGAGCAGTGCGTGGTAGCACCAACAGTGTGTCTTCCCCTCCACACAGGGGCGGGCAGTCGTAGATTCTTAAGTCCATGCCACATGTGGAGAGGACAGACTGTAACCCGATTCATGAACAGTTCTTGGTTTATTAGTATCAAAAGGATGGTTCCTACATAAAAAAACATGTTGTCTTCTCTGTCTGAATGTTAAAAGTCCTCTTTTAAAAATTAAATAGAATCTAAAGCACAGGTTACATAGGATTGCTTTTCCTGGAAGCACTTGAGTGAATGTGTGTGTGACAGGATGGTGCCACACACACCAGGTGGGCACCAGACAGTAACATGAGCCACAGAGTCTGTCACAGCTTTGACAAAGCTGACAGTGACTCTGGACAACAGCAGATACTCATGTCTGGGCAAAGTGAGTGCCTGTGAAAACCTGGGGTGAACGACATACAGCAAGCCCATCCCCATGAAACCACAACATTGGGTGGTTGGACTCAACCAGTGGATGTTCATGGGACAAGTACAACACAAATGTAACCCCTAATGCCCAGGGCTGTGTGACATAGTTGCTTTTTTCGAGTGGGCATGGGCACCATGGGGGCCTCAGAGAAGGCAGCACAGGGCACCAGTATTTTCTCCTAACGTTGAAGGCAGCATCCTCTGCTCAAATACCTACTGCCTGATCTAAGCACCAGCAGCCATGGCTTCAATTTGCTCACAGTAAGCAGCAGTCCTTCCTGCTCTGCCACACGGAGGCCAGCCCTGAAAACCACCAGTGTTTGCTTTGTTGTTGGGTGCCTCTCTGACTTGCTGCAGGTCCTGGAGGGCATGGGGCGCTTGGAGCAGAGGCAGTGCTCAAGTGCCCAGGGCTAGGACTGCAAAGCCACTAGAACAGTGCTCACTTGGCTGCGCAAATCAGGAAAAATAAAATGTGCGTGTTGTCATTACCTTTTAGAACCATAATTGAAAATGAAGAGGAGTTGCCCCCGTATAAAAAGAAGTTTATTGAGTCTGAATAACCATCTAGTCACCGAACAAGATTAGACATGAAACATACAGGCTTCAGAAGGCCACGCCACAGAGCGAGTTGGGGCCTCTCTGAGACTGAGCAGGGTCTCTCCTGCAGCAGGACGGCCCTTCATCTGCATGGGCCTTTGTGCTTTGGAACACTTTGCCCAGCCAAGGCTTGGACTGCAGTTTTCAGAATACAAAGTGCTGTCCAGTGAGCAACCCAGCAGAGTACTTGGGATACTTCAGGGCTCCTCTTGGGGAAAGGATCCGAATGGCTGGAGCCAGGGGCGCAAGCGGCCATTCTCACCAGCCAGTTTTCATCTCCAAACCTGGCTGTGATGGTGGGAACCAGCGCTGGCTTATCTGAGGCTTGTGCAGTGGGGAGTGCCCTACAAAATCTGATGACTGTGTTTTCCAAAAATATTTTTCACAGCACTTTAAATAATTTACAAAAAGCTACAAAACCCACATTTGCCAGGACATGCCTGTTAAATAAAAACTTAATTCCATGTTAGAGTACTTATAGATGGGGTCTTACAGCATGCCTGGCTGCCCGATAACCATAGGCATGATCAACACACACGCACGGATACACACATGCTCACTGCTGTCTAGATGTGGCCGTGTACTCAAAGCTGGAGGACGTTACCCTTCACCACCCCACTGCCACTGCCGTCCTCCATAGAGGTGTCACTGAAGTCACTGGCATCGCTGCCCAGGGCCTCCTGGTCCTCATCATCTCTATCGACAGCCCTGCGTCTGTACCTCAGGTCTAGAACGTTCTCCTCTGACCCTGAGATCCTCCTGTCAGGTAGCCCAAGGCCAACTGGCGACTTCCTGCTCTGCCAGTGCCCGCCTTCCTTCTTTACCAGCAGGTGGGAGCTTCCAAACACAGGGCTGGGGCCCAGTGGGACTTCCCGGAAGGCCGAGAAGGAGGGCCCCTGCAGCGGCAGGCCTAGACGGGGGCTGAAGAGGCTGGCCTGCTCTCCCCCCCAGGAAACGCTCTTCCCAAAATGGAAGAGCTGAGTGGAAAGCAGTGGGGCAAAGCCTGCAAAGGGCAGGCTCTTCTTGGAGTCCAGTGCCAGGCCAGATGGGCACTTAGCCGGCCCCTCAGCACCACTATCTCTCTCGGTCCCGAAGCCCCCTTTCCATGCTGCATCCGGGTGCAGTGCCCATGTGCTCTGGAGCCTGCTCTGTTGGGCAAAGTCACTCCATGGGCTAGCAGAATCAGCTTGAGGCTGACCGCTGAGGAGCACACGACTCTCCCTCTCTGCCCCGGGGCTCGGGGTCAGCAAGCTGAGGCTCTGGCGGCTCACTTGGAAGGCGCTGGTGCTCTCATCCTCTGCTCCAGCTATGGCACCACTGGGTAGCTGCTGAAAAGCACTTTCCACAGCAGTAGGCTCAACCCCTCTCTGATTCTGGTCTTTGCTGCCATAAGCGTTTCTCTTGCTTATGGGGGACCCTTTGGCAGACAACGTCCCACTGGCGTTCTTGGGTGGCGCTGGCTCACATGGGGCCTGGGCAGCAGGGAGGCCCTTGGCACCCTGGCTGAAGACTCTGGCCATGCTCTGCCCCCCAGTGGCTCTCTCTGTGCTCCTGGGCCCCTCGGCCAGCTGGGAGGCTGCCCGGCTCCTTGGGGTCCATGTGCACACACCAGGCGTAGGGGCCACCGCTGACTCCTTTCTGCCCAGTGGCTCTGGCCTGGGAAGGCCCCCTGCTCTGGGAGTGAGGGGGCCGCCACCATGAATATCTGTGCAGTTCATAGATTCCTTGGCCTTCTCGGCCAGAAACTTACGAATCTCCAGCTCGATGCTGTCATCACTGTCTACTGAGCTGCTGTCATCAGATAGAGAGATGGGACTCGAGGTGGAGCTCGAGTTTTCATTGACTTCCAATTCATTGCAGAACAAACTTCCCTCTGGAGCCTTTTTCCTCAGCTGGAAAGACAGGGGAGGATCCCCACTGCTAGTGCCATCTGTCCGCACGCTCTCCACTGTGCTTTCGATACCGTCACCCACCCCAGGTCTCCTCACTGTGATCTCTCTGCTGTCCTTTCTGGATTTTGAGAGGCAACTTTTCAACAAACATGGGCTCTTGTTTCTCCAGTCTTTCTGGAAGCTGCTCCCTGTCTCCAGACCCTGTGTCTCAGTGGTGCTGAAGCGGACTCTCTTCTTGCACGTGGCAGCTCGTGGCTCCCTGCACCTCCTTTTGAGTTTGCGTTTGGATCTGAGCAAGTCCTTGATGGCAGTGTCCAAGTCCTCATCACTATCCAATGAGCTGCTCTTGTCGTCAGAGCTCCCCTTCTCACCTACACCCCTTGCCTCATCCACCTGGCCATGGCTGTGTGACATGCCACCTCTCACATCTGAGGCCACAAGCTCGTCCCCAGGCCCAGCCGCCTTGGAGGGAAGAGGCTGGCTCCTGGCCTCAGCCTCAGCTGCCTCACCAGCTCTCCCCTGGCTGGGAATGTCCCACCCCTCATGACCAGGCTGAGTACTCCCGTGGCAGTGATCAGCATCCTGGGAATCCTCCTTCGCCACCTCCTTACTTTTCTTCAGTGCTGATGGTTTTGCAGTGCTGCCACTACCTCTGTGTTTCCTTTTGCAGCTCAGAGGCACATCCAGTGTCTTAGAAAGTGGGCCACCGGCCTGGCTGTTGGGCCCAGGTGACAACCGTGGGCTCCATGCAGGGGGTGGGTGGTTTTCAGCTTGGGCCAGCAAGCTCCCCGATTGTGCCTTAAGGGCCAAAAACGTCCGAATTTCCTGCTCAATGCTGTCATCGCTGTCCACAGAGCTGCTGTCCCCATCAGAGCGGGAAGGCACACTGGGGGCATAGAAGAGTGGGCTTGTGTGCAGAGTCCGGGCACTAGCCCCTGAGGGCACTGGCAGGATGGTCTTGGAAATGTCCAGAATGGCCTCAGCGCACATCAGCTCAGCGGAAGTGTCTGCCCGGCATGAGGCCTGGTCTGCACACTCACCCTTGGCACCTGTGTCTCCCAGCTGCGGAGAAGCTTTGGTTTCCTTCGGGGGACCGGTGGGATAGCTGGAATCAAGGGCATGTGGGTCAACCTCCATGGCTTTTGTGGTCGCCAGCTTTTTCTTGCTTGCAGTTTTCCGGTGGGTTTCAGGAAAGGCACTTTTTGTGGAGGTGCTTGTGTTGCTGGCAGAAGAGTCAGGCCCTTGGTCCTCTCTGAGCTGGCCTCTCTGTGGAGCATCCCCACTGGCCTCTTTCCTGGTTTTCTCCAGCTGGTAGAGCTGAATGGCTTCCTCAATGCCATCATCACTGCTGGAGTCGGATGCAATGGACACCAGGGCCGCACTCTTGGCCTGCTTCCCCCTCCGCCCAGCACCTATAATTTTCTTAGTGCCCCCTTTGTTCTGAGTTGTGTCCGAAAGGTGGTAACTGGCTGCCTTGGGGGCTGCTGGTTTGGTGTTGCTCAAGGCCTCTGTCTCGATGGTGACTTTAGCCTTGAGGCCTCTGGGCTGTACACTCGTCTTCTGTTTTCGGAAAACAAACTCCTTGCCGGCACCCACTGTGTCCTGGCGATGCACCCTCGTGGCCGGCTCTTTGCTGGACTGTAATGCCAATCTTGCTGAGATTTCACCTGGGTCTGGCTTTTTGTCCACAGAAGCATCACACTTTTGGATTTCATGTTGCTTCTTTTCATTCAGAAACTGCTCTATTTCCGCCTGTATACTCTGCTCGAAAGAGTCATCACTGCTTACACTCACAGGGGAGGCAGGGCCCCGGTTTTCACGGGCCCCTGTGTGGCTGTCAGGGACACCTCCTGCCACTGTGTTGTCTGCTCTGGGTTTTGCAGGACACAGAGCAGTCATGGTGCTGTTCTGGGGTGGCTCTGGCTTACCTCTGCTGCTACCCTCTGTAGCCCCTGAAGGCAGGGCCACACTGGGCATAGGCTGGGAGCCACTGGACATGGGCTGGGCCCTGCTGCTCTTGGCCTTCAGATACTCCTGGATTGCTTCCTCAATGTCGCGGTCCACAGAGTCATCGCTGTCTGAATCCAGCGCCAGAGGGCCAAAGTCCACAGCTGCCTCCTCTACCGTGGGGTTGAAGTCAGCAGTGAAGGCACAGGCAGTGAAGGTGGGCTGTTCCTTGGGCACAGCTGGGTTGGAGGCAAGCCTGGTGTCACGGCATCGCTCTCCCCGGTGGCTTTTCCGTGTGGTGTGCTCATTGCTCATGCCCAAGGTGGCTCTGTCGCTCTGCAGCGTGCTGATGACCATCTGTACCTTGGTGCTGACCGCTGCCCTTGCCACGCCCTCTGTGGACTCTGAGAAGCACCCAGGAAACCTAAAGCTTCCCGACGGGCCGAAGGCCTCCCATTTTGACTGGAGAGCAAGCACAGGAGGTACGTTCATGAGGAACATCCTAGCGGGTTCTTTTACATTCCTGCCCGCTTCACATCCTGGGAGGAGAAAAAAGCACATTGGTATGATGTGGCCTAGAACGTAGCTGCTGAGTTAACATTGCACACGGCAGCGAAGGCACGGCACACCTGGGCTGTCTTCTTAAGGCTTTCTGACTGCCAGAATGAAAACGAGAGATCTAATTCAGACGCTGAAAAAATAAAAACCAAACCCACTGCCATCAAGCTGAATTTGACTCATGGTAACCCCCAATGGATTTCTAAAACTATAAATCTTTACAGAAGCAGATTGCCTCATCTTCTTCCTGCAGAGCAACTGGTGGGTTTGAACAGCCGACCTTCTGGTATGCAGCCAAATGCCTTATCCACTACTCCACCAGAGAAATATGGTTAACAAATTGTTTTGGGCCAACAGAATATCACCAATTTAAAGGCCCAAAGCCAAAGTCTGGAAGAGCTTACCCTGAGAACAAGTATATTCAGTCACAATGACCTTGCCATCATCCCTGACAACAGCTCTGACACTATCATTCAGGGGTGTGTCTTGCTCATTCTTGAGTTCTAAGACCCCACAAAAGCCCACAATCCCCCCACAAAGTCCCCTTTGGAGACAGAAGTGGAGACATACAACGGAGGAGCGGCTTTTACTGGTTAGGGGCCATGTACACTTGCCTGGCTGTGGCCATTATTCAAATGGCCTCCACAGAACTAAAAAAATTATAGAACACATTTACATGAGCCTTGGAAGTCAACTGTTAAGAACAAATCGTGAGTATTATTAACCTCGTAAACAGCAGATGTTGTTAGGTGTGGATGAGTTGGTTCAGACTCATAGTGACTGTATTTACAAAATAAAACACTGCCGTCCTCACAATTGCTGTTTACACAATTCCAGAATAAAACACCGTCCTGTGCCGTCCTCACAATTGCTGTTGGCTCATTTGCCAGCACTGTATCAGACAATGTTCCACTGCTATCCATAAGGTTTTCACTGGCCAGTTTTTTCAGAAGTAGACCGCCAGGTCCGTATGCCCACTCTGCCTCAGTCTGGAAGCTCCACTGAAACCTATCCAGCATGGGTGACCCTGCTGGTATTTGAAACACTGGTAGCACAGCTTCTAGCATCATAGTAACACACAAGCCACCATGGTGTGACAGATTGACTGACAAGTGTTGTAAATAGCAGCACTATCTTAGAAACAGACCCAGGAACAGATGTGCCAGGCTAAAGAGATTTGTACTAGGTAGCAAAGTTGGGTGGTGCAAACAGTTAACGAACTTGGCTGCAAACCAGAAGATTGGAGTCCACCTGTAGGTGCTGTGGAAGAAAGGCCTGGCAATCTACTTCTGGAAAACCAGCCACTGAAAATCCTATGAAGCACAATTCTTCTCTGACACATATGGATTCGCCATGAGTCAGAATCAACTCGAAGGCAACTGGTGGTGGTGGTGAAGCAAAAGTCAGGGAGGAGGTTTTCCTGAGGAAAAATACTCCTGTCTCGACCATGTTTACCATGCTTTTAAGTGTTTGTAGATCCAGGTTGAATGCCTAGTGAAGTCTTCTAAGTTGTCAGAATACCTAGTTCAAGAATGAAGAGAGAAAAATCAAAAAGAGCATCTCCTGGAAACAGCCTGCAGCTTTAAAACCAGCAACTCCGTCTGATGGATCATTCTGGAAAATTCTCCTAAACTGTACTTGGAGCAAACGGTGAGGCACAGCAAGTGGTCCGGCTCTGTCAGACTGTCACCTGCACCCCAGCACCCCGTATTGGGGACACCTGGCACCAGCACCCGGAAGCTGCTTGGTGCCAGTGTGGAGGGCACTTGGCATCTCAGCTGACATCGACTTCCTGCAGCGATAAAACCAAGTTTAAACTTTGTTATCATAACAATCAGGCTACCTGTGTAAGGAGGCCCCAAACTGCTTCACCAAAAAGTGGTTCAGCTCTGTGTCTGATCTCCCAGGAGGGGCCTTCTCCTGCAGGCTAGGGAAAGCCATGCAGGGGAGAAGGAGCTGGTCCAGGAGGGGGCAGCAGCTGGGGTCCCTCTTTGCCAGTGTAGGTGGGGCTGGCTACAAGACGTCCATCTCTTCCCAAAGCTGAGGTTTTATTTATATCTCAATAGGGTTTCCATTGCCAAAAGCTGCAATGCGATTCCCCAAGCCTGTGGTATGAGGCCAAAGTGGGACCCTCGTGGCTAACCCTGCCCTGCCCTGCCCTTTCACCCCGACCATAGCAGACAACTCTGTCCAAGGGGGGCGCTCACCCCTAGACGCTTTCATTGCCAGAAGAGAGGTCTCGCCTGGAGGGGCACCCAGTTCTCATCCAGGTCAGTGCGGGCACCTTTCCCAGGGAAGGGGATGGAGAGGCCTCCACACAGGGTACGCCCCCCCAGAGAATTTTCAGGGATCCGTGGACCTGGGATCTGAGACAGAAAACCCCATGACCTTTCCGGAAGCTCAGCTGGACGCAGGCCCGCGCCGCACCACTGAGGTGGGCCAAGGCCTCAGTCCTTCTCAGGGCAGCGGTCACCCAGGTCTGGCCGGAAGCTTGAGTGGGGCCTCACCTGCGCCTCACCTGGGCGGCCGTGCAGCGACCTGCTCTTCTGGCCCCATTGGCTTTCGAGGAACGCAGAGCCCTGGAGGCGGGAGACGCCGCAGGGCAGCCACGACCCCGGCCCC